CCCCGTCCCGCCTGCCCCGCCGCCGCGCTCCCGATCCAGCCCCACGTGCAGCTGTAAACAACATGGAAGGATATAAATAAGAGATGTCTCCCCGCCGCGCTGGGGCACGAGACAAACCGAACCGGAGGAAGAGCTGCGGGCGGAGGAGCTGTGGGCCACTGCACCCACCCGGGAGGGCACCGGGGTGCCCCGTGTGCCCTGCCCCGGTTGCTTGCCCCGTCTCCCTTCAGCAAGGGCAGGCTCTGGAGAGAGGGTCCGGGCTCAGGGAAGGACCTTTGCTTCCTACTCCCGGCCTTGGACGCTGGCGAGTCTCACAACCCGACGTCCGGCCGATGCAGTCGGCTGGGTTTGGAGTGTGACATCCCTCAGCTGAGTCGTGCCCCGGCCCCATGCAGAGCTGCGGGGTTTGAGATAGGAGACAGGGTCCGACTTGACGCCCAGCTGGGCATCAAACATGCTGCGACTCGGCGCCCTTTGTGCCCCCCTCCTCGCGTGGAGATAGATCCGGGCCCCTCGCGTGTCACTGCATTTAAATCCATCAGAGCAAGGCTGGCTCCAGGCCGAGACCTGAAGGCAGCGATTAAGAAACCCGCGTGCAGGGAGAGCGGCGGGAGGATCGGGTTGGAGGCCCGCACGGCAGGTGGGGAGGCAGCGGTCCCTGGCTGAGGGTGGGGAGGGTGCTCACAAGGAAGTGGAGAAGAGGCTTTAGCCAGCAGCACACCCCGGACCTGGGCTCCCCACACCAGGCACCTGGGCCAGTTTGGCACTCTGCACAGGGCCCGGAGTCCCTGCCACCTTGGCAAGGCCCTGGCAGCAAACACATCCCTTTCTCTTAGGACATCAGAGTTTCCTTGTCACATTCGGGAGCCCTGGGGCTGAGGCAGGCTCCAGCCCAGGTCCCGTGCCAGGAATCAGTGCAGGGTTTGCCAGCATCGATGCCCCACGGCTGAGCCTCCCTGCCTGCGGCACGTGCACACGCTGGCACACAGGGGCAGAGAAGATGCCCAGGCACACAAGGCATCCTGCCAGGGCTGGGCGCTCCGTACTCCTTCGAGGTGCATGGGTGTGCACCCCGGTTTCACCCTAGAGAAGCGCCTGGGTTTGACACGCCTGGCACAGGATGGGGCACACGCTATGTGCGCAGAGGCCGTGCCCCCTGCCCCGTCTCTTCTACTCAACTTTAAGCCCTTGGACAGGCAGAGCAAGAGCCAACTCAATCACCGCACCCCCTTTCCCAGCCCTTTCCCTTGCTTTCTCCCCAGACAGACCAGTTTGGAGCCACCTGGGCACATCTGCAGGCTGCTTGTCTCAGTTTAACCCTTCCACGGGGCCGGCTGTGCTGTCCACTGCAGCAATAGGCTCACAAGCACTGGGTTAGCGTGACTCCAGCAGTCTGTCTACAGACTCCTCTTGTTAGCAGCCCAGCTTTATCCCTGGATCCAGGTTCTCCACAGCATAGGCCCCAGTAAGTATTGGAAGGGAGGTGAACTGGGCAATGTACAACTGCCCCTGATAATGGGCTGAGGCCTTCCCCACAGTGGGTAGGGACAGGCTATGCCTCATCTAGCCCTGGTAGTGTGGGGGCTGGACAAACAGCTGGACACGCACGCCTGCTGCTGGGACCAACAGACCAACAGGCACGGTCCTGCCATCGGGAAGGATGGGGAGAGAGAAGCACTTCTATTGCAACACAGAACGCGGCAGGGACTGCCTTTGGGACCAGCGCCCGGCCCGGCAGCCGGACGGCCCCCGCTCTGCCTGTGCTTGCTTCCTGCGCGCCTGCAGCTCCAGTGACACCCCCAAAATGCCCACGATGTGTCCCCTGTTGCGACAGCCCCCTCCTCTGCCTGGAGGGCAGGGGCCGTCTGACCAGCATAGTGCTGCCCGTGGCGATGCATGGGCAGGGAGGGGGCGTCACTGACTCCCCCCACTGAAACCTCCCCTGTTGACGAGCACGAGAGCAAAGAGGTGTCCGGTTGTGGATCACGGAGGGTGGAAAGACGGATTCTGACCGATGGCTCTCAAGTGTCCCCGTGAAACAGAGAGGTCCAAGGAATTCACTCGGTGAGGTCCAGGTCCCAGCTCCATCTGTGACATGCTTGTGAGCGGAGGCTCACTGTGACAATGGCTCTGACTGGGCCACGGGCGCTGGGCAGGCCTGGTGAGCTGCTAGGAAGCTATTCACATCCCCAATGCCGATGATGCTGAAATCCGTGACCGATAAGGACACCTGAGCTGGGGCCACCACTGCCTCGGGGGCTGTGCCCAAATCCACGCGGCCAGCGATTAAAGGCAAGCCTTCGCCCATGTCTGCGGGGAGTGTGAAGTCCACGGCTATCGTCTCGCCGGAGCTCTGCAATGTCTCTGCTTTGTCCACCGGGTCCGGGCCTGCCGGGGGCAGCGGGTAGATCCCCGTCTCTGAGGGGGTCCCGGGGCGCCGCGTGCTCGAGGCCGGCTCCTCGGCAGGGTCGAAGGAACAGTTTGTCTCTGAGGGCGTGCTGCACTCGTAGCCCTGGCCCGACTCACTCATGCTGCCCAGGCTGCAGGCTGCACTCTCCACGCTCAGGGGCTCTGCACGGTGCGACAGCAAGGGGAGGAACAGAGACAGGAGGGTGAGGGCAGAGGAGACGGTGCCTGTCCATTGCATGCTAGGGGGCTTCCTGCTCAGGCCTGTGACAAGCCCGTGTCACCGAGCGCAGCAGTGACCCTTTGCTAGAACAGCCAAGCCCCGTGTCAGCACAGTGCGGGATGCATATAAGGAGAGAAGAGGCAGGACGCTCATGGGTTAAGGGGAGACTTCAGGGTTTTAGGGAAATTTAGGTGAACAATTCATGGGAGACTCCAGGAGTCTTCTCCCCCTCCCCATCCCGCTCCTGCGTTTCTCCCCAACATGCAGATGTCAAGCTCAGGTTTATCAGGGTGGTGGAAGAGGGTGCTCAAACTCTGCTCCTCTAGATTCTCCCTACATCTGACCTGTATGGAGCCCAACTGCACGTCCCTGGCTACATGCTGATGGGGCAGACAAGCCTCTTGCCTCAGCACTGCGCCCTGCCCTGGGGTCTAGGCCGTGGAGAAGGGCCTTGGTTAGACGGCAGGTCACAGGAGGCAGGCCAACAGAGCCCCGTCTCCAAGAGCTGCGGGACTGCAGCCGCTGCAGCATGCCCAGGTGGAAGGCAAGGAAGTTACCTGTGCTCTCGATGGCCAGGGGGTCCTGGCTGAAGTGGGAGTCCAGGCAGCTAGTAGCAGAGGGAATGGGCGGCGAGCTCCGGGCCCGGCCAGCGTTCTCCACCTCGCCTCCGTCCAGGTCGTTCTCTGCATAGTCCCTGCAGGGAGAGAGGTGGCCGTGATTCTCCGTGGAGCGGCGAACACCCTGCAGAGGGACGCGGGGTGGGGGCAGCATTCCCTGCACCACAGGCAGCAAGCAGCCCACTGTGCCAACACCTTCCACTCAGCACCCACAAGGCCCGGCTGGGATCTCGCACTGGTGAAGGGTGACAGTGAAAACCAGAGCAGATGAAACCAGCATCAAAACCCTGTTGCTTTCTAGCCTCAGCTGAGCTCGGCACCCTGGACCTGCAGCCTTCCCTTCTTCCCCCAGGAGATTCACTGGACGCACATTCTCCCCCCAACACACAGCCAGAGCCTGCCGCACCGCGAGTGCGCTGGCACAGAGAGCTGGGCTGGGAACTGCCGCCCCAAGAACTTTTTTTGAGCTTTTTCAGAATGTTTCGTGCCCTGAATCAAGGCCAAGAAATCAAAGGCTCCAACATTTCTGTGACTGAACAATCCCAGAAACAAAATATGGGGTTGTTCCCTTTTTTTTTTTGGCTGCTTGTCAGCTGTTTTAAGTGGGATCTGCTCTTATGAGCAAGAGTCCAACTGAAAAGAGAAAAAAAAATAATAGGACGTTCAAGTTTACAAAAAAGGCAAAAATAAGGGAGTTTTTCATTTTTTTGTCCCCCCTTGGTATTTTTGGAAGAGAGAAATGGATCCATGTGGATCCTCCACTCCTGGCAGTGAGGATGCGTATGGAAAAATGAGCATGTTAGGACCATAGATACTGAGAGACAATACTGCCAACTAGCGACACCTGGGAAAAAGGTGCCCAGGCTGAGGTTGGCTATGTCAACCCTGCAGAGGGTGCAGCTGATTGCCTGCAGGCCCTGGGGACTCCCCTCCAGGACACTTCCCATCTTCTGTGGTTTAAATAAAAGGGTGGGGAGCAATGTTTAAAGCAGTGATTCTCAACCAGGCACCGCGGCACCCTGGGGTACCTTTAGATCCTTTCAAGGGTGCTGTGGGGCTTCACACAATGTTAGCACTGTTGGGTGTGCAACCATGATTCACAAGATAAACCCAGAGATCTCAAATAGGAATCCAGAGTGTCCAAAGCACTGACCGGCTGTGGTCTCTCTGAGGTCCTTGCAATGGAAAAAATGCTCTAATATTCTTCCACAGTCAAAAAAACTGAGTGAAAACTAAGAGCTGGCACTTTCTGCAGAGTTCCTTGAGTCTAACCAAGGGTGCCCCGAGTCTACGAGGGTTGAGAACCACTGGTTTAAGAGGCCCCTAGCTGGAGGGGAGGGGGTGGAGGCCGGGTTCCTCCGCAGGAAGGCATGTTACTGAGATTAGTGTGAGAATATTCCACGCACGTGGCTCCAGGGTGGAGGACGTACTTCTTCCTTCCGAAGCGAGTCTGCTGCGTGAAGTAGTCGTAGCGCTCTGACTTTTTCCACATGTAGTAGTACTCCACGCACTCGCCCACCGACCGGGTGCGCACCTGGGCGGGAGAGGGCAGTCAGCCACTTGCACCGAGAGAGCTCCAAGGGGCAGCTGTGTGTCACCCTCCTTTATAGGTGTGGAGAAGCAACCTCACTCTCACAGCCGGGCCCCAAGCCCAGACCCAGCATCATCCACCCCATGTCCTGACTACCAGACCCCCCCAGCTCTCCTTGTAAAGGAGAGGTCTTTGCACACTCCCTGAACATGGGACTCACCTAAACGCTGCAAGAGTCAAGTGTTTGGAAAGACTCTTGCCTAGAAAGTGCTAATGAGCTGGAGCCTCATGCTCTGATGTTGTCACTCTTATGATCTCTGCTTTTCAGGTGGGAGAAGCCAGCATCGCAGCTGGGCTTGGAACTCGGTAGTCTTCCTTTCCCCAGAGGAACCGAGGCTTCAAACCCGCGCCCAGCGCTAGCTGACGCACACAGCTCGTTACCTTGTTCGCTTGGATGAGATGGAAATTCTTCCCATGGACCCGGAAGCCGTGCTCGAAGTTCCTGCACTCCTCTTCGCTCCAGGCACAGAGCTCATCTGCAGCAGGAGGAAACGGGAATGTCAAATGCTCCAGAGTCCCAGGAGTTGGGACAGAGAGACGGACAGGACACCGAGCGGCTACTCCACGAGACAATCCAGCCCCTCGCATTGCTCACCTCTGATGACCTTCACGTTGAAGCGTAACCTCCGCAGAGCCTCTTCCGCATTGAAGTTGCATTTCACCAGCTCATACAGAGCCTAGGGAACAGAACGGACCCCCCCAGCTGATCACACGCACCGGATTAGCATGTCGCCGATGGGCTCAGCTACAGCTCAGGCTCGCAGCCCGGGGGACACGTTTGCCTCTGCAGCCACCTCTCCGCCACCCCAATTTCAGACCATCACCTAGGGCAGTTCCACATGGGAAGGTTCCCAACTCCACTCAGGGGATGGGGGCACGCAGCAAGGGTGCATACGTGTCCTCCCACAAGGGCCAGCTGAGCAAGGCAGTGGCAATGTAACCCCTACAAAATGTCAGCTGAGCTTGTCTGCTGTGCTCCAAAATGGCAGGACCCAGCTGAGCTCAGTCCCTAACAGAGAATTATTCCCTCTGGCTCATCTCCGCAGCAGCCGTGACAGACCCCCGAGGGGCCCCTTCAGCTCCAGAGAGGCTCTGTAGGGTCTTGCCCTTCTCATCTGACCTGTCTTGGAGCTCCCTAATTCTGCTGCTTGCCCCTGCGGCCAATGTGACTCTGTCCATCCCCCAAACCAAACTGGCTCATTGGAAACTGAGACCCCAGTGGCTGGGCAGAGCCCTGGCTCCCACTCACCTGCTCGTTGTCCTTCACCATCTCTCCTTCGGGCAGGCTGATGCTGGCCAGCTCGTCCCACTGCCGCTTCACCGCTCGGTACAGGAACTCTTCCACCTCCTTCTCGGGCAGGATGTTGGGGTCCCACAGCAACTGATCTTCGTTCTCGTAGACTGCGGGGGACGGCAGGGCATGTCTGGGATGAGCTCAGCAGTCAGACAGCACCGCTGCTCCCCCAGGCTGGTGTGCAGGGGGGCATCTCAGAGAGAAAACCCGTCTCTGGGGTGTTGAAGCTCACAGCACTTGGGAGCTTTCCCTCCTGAATCTACAGTAGAGGACTGCTGGCTCCCAACTCTCCCCTTTGCCCCATGAGCCAGAGGTTCTTATTTTTCAGTGTTTTGCAAGGACTCCTTTAACCTTGGCTTTTCATGAAGGCTGGGGTAAGGGGGGGTGGCTGCAGAGAAGTCCTCTAGGATCACCGGATGACACAGTATTAACATGTTAATACAGGCTGCTTTAAAGGGCTGGCTTTAAGCTACCACTTAGCCTGTTCAATTTTGCCATCACCAAGGCTCAAAAAGGCGTAGCCTTCAGGCCACTCAACACTGCACTAGCTTGGAAGGCGGTTTTGTCAGGTAAGAATAGCAGAAGCACGCTGCTTGCCCCCTTCCGCCCTCAGCTGCGAGCACAAGGCTGCGCATTGCGCTCTCAGCGGTTCATAACAATACGGAGGAACGGTGAGAAAAAAGAAAAAAAGAAAAGCCACACAAAGCAAACAGAAAACAAAGGCTTAGCAATTAAATATAAATAAAAGTCACAGAGATGTTTGTATTCAGATGCGTGGCTTTGTAACCCCCAGCACTGAATGTGCTTCTCAAATGATATTTATTTAGTTGGGAAGACAAAGGCTTTGATTCCCCATTGTCCTACCCCTTCAGCGCTTGTTCACACTGAGTCAAAGCGAGCGCAGAAAGGACATAAAAAGGCCACTGTCGAGGGCTACTACCACTTCACATCCGCTTTGCAAGTGACGTGCGACACCGGAGAATTAGTCCCCAAGCCCTTGGACTGCTGCCTGCAAGGCAGCCAGAGCCCTTCCCTCCCACTGATTTCCGGAGGAGTTAACGGCACTGGGCACTTTGCAGCGTTTGAGTCTAAAATGAGTGAAGGTATCTCCTTAAACCTGCCCAGAGAGTGAGTGATGGAGGAAGTGAGTCATTTCTGAAGAGGCTTCTTGCTGCCTGCCTGCGTGGCAGGCCCTGAGAGGTGGTGCCGAGGGCATGAGTTTTAGGCATCGAAACAATCAGCCAACCTGATCCCCTCAGCCTGGCTCCGAGTGATCCGATCTAACGGTGAACTGAGATGGGCCTGAGGGGGGTTGCATGAAAATGCACATGCGAATGATGTGGGCTACCACTCATTGCCACTGAAAGACTAAAAGATCACTGGGAAGGAGGGTCTTCTCTCTGGCTGTGGCCGAGACCCTCGACTTCCTCTTTGCCACCTGAAAACCCTTAACTTCGTGCCATTCCCCAGCCTGAAGGCGCGTCAGGAATGCAGGGACAATACAACCTTCCAAGAATGCAGGTGTCTGTTACTAGAGCCTCCAAAAATTAATCACAGCTTTGCATTCTTTCCCGTACATAATCTGATAGCCACTGCAAGCTGCCAGGTCACACACAGCAAACTGCACCTGCGGGTGTGTTGTAAACAGTCGCAGCTGCTGACTTCTTGCAGGGCACCCATTTTGTGATTCAAAACACATGGGTGACAACTGTTCCATGCCCTTTGCTAGGAGAGTATAGTCAGACACACTGGATACATCACGTCTGGGATTGCAATGCAGCGTGGGGATACTCGGGCTTCTTTTAAACTAGACAGCTAGCCTGAGTACCAATAGTGGTCCAGCTGTGGCAGCCCCCACAGGTTGCAGGGCCCTCTTGCAAAGCCGGATAAATCAAACCACCCAGGCTAGGGGCCTTGTACCCAGATGATACTCAGTGCAAATGTTGAAGCCAGAGAAAGGACAGTCTCTCACCTTTTTCACTGTGCCTTTGTAAATGGAGGATGGGGACTGCAGCCTGGTACTGAGGACCGACCATGATCTCCTGGAAATCACCACAAGAAAGGGATTTAGTAGGAGACTGCTGTGCACCATGCAGGGGCTAGAATCAGTTGCAGGACAAAGAAAGCTTATCTTGCACTGTTAAATACGGCAGCAGACTGTGTTTTGCAAAATCCACGAGGATTTTGTCTACCCAGAAACCTAGGAAGTTTTCAAACAAATGTCGAGTTGGGGATCGTACGGGTTTGATGCCAGTCTGAATACTACAGGTTTAGGGCAAAACTGCTGTCAGCCCCTAGAGCTGGAGATGCAGCAGATCTTCCTCACCTTGCCAGGCACGTGAGTCATCTGCACCTAGATCTTCCTTCACCCATCACCCCTATCCAGGGTGGGTACTGGGAGTCTCCATCCCCCTCCTATCCTGGACATGTAAAAGCCATCATTTCTTCTAGGGAAGGAACAGCACAGTCCCCGCATAATCAAGATATCCTCAGCTGCAGACCACAGACGGAGGCTGCAGGCTAAGCTCAAAGCTGTGTCTGCCTTGACCTTCTCCAGAATACAACACACAGAGCATCGCAGCGGCTTCCCCATGGACACACCACAGGTTACTGTGGTCCCTGTGACAGGCTTTGCTTTCTCCCCTTGGGGCACAGATCATGGGCTGCACGTTCAGTGACTCACCTTCTTACACTCGTTGGATGGGATGGAGTCCTCTTCTGAATCCTCTGCCATGGAGGAAGCGCACGGGGAAGAGCAGGGCTCCTTGTCTTCATCGGCAAGGAAGTTGTTGGCTGTGAGAAAGGAGAAGTTGGGCGTTCAGTGACGTGCTGGCTTACTTCTCCTCCCTCATGTCTCTTTAGCTTCTCTCTTCTTCCCCTTATTTCCTGTCTTCGAGTTAGTTTAACCTTGGCCCATTTTTTCAGAGGTAACTTACCCAGATCCTCATTTATTCTCTTTGTAGGCTACAGAATTCAAGTCCTTTCCAGACGCGCAGTATTTGATCAATCAGCAAGACCAAGACTCTCAAAACTGGTAGGTGGCCCAACCCACACTTTTATCTGAAGCTCCTCTCTTACCCTGGGTCCTTGCAGATCCCCAATACAAAGGTGCAGCCATAAGATATTAGAGCACCGGTCCTACTTATATGCTGTACCTCCTTCCAGCCACATCATATGGGATCCCTGGGCCCTCAGAGCTGGAATCCTGCCTGCTGCCCTACCACACAAGAGCAGGGTCTGTCTAGTCTTACAGCGGGTGATTCTGGAGGAGCATATGGCTGAGATATTTCAGGAAGCCAAACAAGCCCTGTATCAACCCACTTCACCCGCTGTGTAGCTGCCTCGGAAATCCACACCGAGCATGTAACCAGAGGTCTCACTTCCCCAGAGCTACGACTTGTAGCCAGAGGGAATTCTTTCCCGATGAGACAGCTGACTGGTATCCCTTAGCCCCTCATCGCTGCAGCCTAACTCTCACAAGCACACCGTCAGGGCCAGGTCCATCACCAGCCCCAAGGACCGGCCTCTGCAAATGCTACTCTCAGCACCAAAATAAGTAACTGCCCCGCTGAGGCACTCGGGGTCCAAACAGTAAGTGAGAAATCAGTGACGTACAGCCAGGCTGGTTTGGGAAAAGGTCCGAGGCATCGTGGGACGTGACGGATGGAGTCAGGTCGTCGGCCGAGGACTGCGTCTCCTCCTCTTCTTCCCCTGAAAGCAAATCCTTCGCTATTTGTTCCTTTTAACAACAACAAGAAAGTGAAAAATGTTTTTAAATAAAAAAAAAAGGGGGGAGGCCTAGAATAAATCGTCCCTTGCCATGAGAAGCTGCCTCCATGTACCTCCCAGGACTCCCCTCTCATGCCTGGGGTCTGAGGGGGATCTATACAGCTGGCTGGACTAGATGATCCCTCAGGTCCTCTCTCACTGTGGCTGTTTCCTCAGGGCTCCTACTAAGAGGGTCAAGAGGAGAGGGGTTTCCTAGGGATGTCACAGGGAGGAGTGGGTGGCTTTCCTAGATCCTAGCAGGGAGAAACTCCTAGCCACAGATTTTAGGCAGGGTGGGAGGAGTATCAGGTTCACACAGGCAGGGGGGCAGCAGGGAAATAGCTGTCCAAGCAGACATGCAGCTTCCTGTGAATCTCCTTTGATTCACAGCCCCACACGGACAGAATTCACATTCCACAAAGGGTTTTTAGTTTGTCCTTCGCCTTAACAAGGACCCTCTCCCTCGTCTCCTTTGAATTCCTTGCATTCACTCTCCTGCTATCACTTTCCTGCTGGCTTTCCTTACAGCGAGCCGGGATGAAGCAGGCCCCGTTCTTTTGGGTTCAAAGGGTCAGCCAGCTCCTGCCTACCGGAATTCAACGGCCTTGAACTCACTGAATAGGAGGAAGGCACCAAGCCAGCGATTCTCACCCAGGGTGCCAGGCACCCTGGGGTGCCATGAGACCCTTTGAAGAGTGCCACAAGGTGCAAGGAGATAAGTCGGTTTAAGGAAATAAGTGCAGGCTCAGGCTGGCAAAGCCCCTCTGCAAGGAGGTAACACTGTAATAAAGCAATTCGGTTTTCCTGTTCAACGCACACAAGACATCCGAAAAAACTACTTCACAGTTAGGGCGGCTAGGAGCTGGAACCAACTTCCAAGGGAGGTGGTGCTGGCTCCTCCCTGGGGGTCTTTAAGAAGAGGCTGGATGCCTACCTGGCTGGACTCATTTGAGTCCCGTTTTTGTTTTTAGGGTTTTTTTGTTGTTCTCCCGCCCTGGCAGGGGGTCGGGCTAGAAGATCTATTAGGTCCCTTCCGACCCTATAACTATGAAACTATGAAACTATGAAGTTATGGAGCGGGGGTGCTGAGTCTAAAAAAGGTTGAGAGCCACAACACTAGACACCCTAAGCTCTAGGCCCTACAGCGACTAGGGATACACTGCCTCCTTCCCTTGCTAGTAGCTTATGGGTGGCCAAGAAGTGCTTCTTACCTTATCGAGGGTCATGTCTGGCAGGTGAGGAGAGATCCCATTGCTCTCGCTGTCCTGCTCCGAGATGGGATCAGATGCCTCATAGCCATAAAGTGCAAGCAGCTCCTCGAATGGCATTTCACTGCTCTGAGCGAGAGGAGGACAAAGCTTCATCAGGAATGGAACAATCACCAAGCACAAGCCCAGCTGCAGTAAACACAGAGATGCGCAGAGGCAGTCAAGACCGCTCTGCGATTCAGGAGGTTTGGGGCTGCCCTGAGCACTGCTTTCCCAGGAAGGAGACCAGAGGCATGGGCTGAAGGGGCCGACCGCCAGCTGGTCTTCTCCGGGCTGTGGACTGACCTGCGGAATTTAAATCCCTAAGTGACAGCTTCGAGGGGATGTTTGTTCGAGGCTGGATTTGCTGTTGGTGAAGAGGTGCCCCTTAGCAGCCCTCAAGACCAGAGTACGGGGCTCAACAAGCATCCATAAATCATCCTTTCGCTTTGCACCCAGCCTGACCCGGAGGGACAACCCGCATCACCGAGAAGGAAGCTCATGCTCCACATCCCATTCAGCAAAGACCGTCCACAACGGGACCAAGAGACAGGGTCTTTGTGATGGGGCCCCTGTCCACCATGAAGCGGACTCCACATCAACCAGCCTTGCCATACAGATACGAGCACCCACAAGTTCTCATCACTATGGACGCAGAGCAGATCTGAACGGGAAACCTAGAAGCAAAAGACTCCGAAGCTCGTAGCTGGTCCCCTGAGCAAACCCATCCCACAAATCCAGATGCCAGACCACAGCCTTATACCTCCAGTGGATCCACCAGTGCTGGTTCATGTCCCTCAGTGGAGCTCTGTGCTTTCAATACTGTCAAGGAGGACAAAACAGTTGGCAGACAAGTCCCCTTCTCCTCCCTTGCAGTGTGTACCTGAGAGGGGCTGAAGCTCTTTTCCAGCTCCTCTAAAGACTTCTCTTTCTCCTGTGTATCTTCTTCCTCATCCCTCTCTTCTCGTACACCATAGTTCTGTGAAAGGATCTCGGCAAGGTTGAATCGGTGGTCAGCTGAGCCCATGGACACAACTGCAGGGAGGAGAAAGCTGGCCGTTAGCCCCACACGGTGCAAAAGCAGTCTGGAGGAAGAGTCTAGATGGAGAAGTGGGGCTGGGGTAAGCCAAACATGGGCCGAGTCAAACCTGCTGCAGTCTGGAGGCCAGGCTCTCCGGGACATAGGTTGTGGGCTGGGTACGGCACCACCCGTGGACTCTGCCTGCCGACCGAGGCCTTCAAAGAGAAAAGAAGTTGGATAAGAAATCCCTTTGCAACAACACAATGTGCTGCCAGCTCCTGCATGCAATTCATTTAAATTAAAACCCAAAGGACACAAGTTGCAAAGGGCAGTCGAAAGGGCTGCCGTGGGCAGAAGGACCCACTGCACATATATCTCGTGGACCTTTAACGCTTTCTCTCCTCCATCTAGACCAGCTTCCCCTTAGAGGAACTGCCTCCATCACACCAACCTCCATGCTCTCAGAAGTTAAGACCCCAAATCCTCAGGACGTACCCTGCCCTCCAAGAGGATGATTTTTGGCTCCTACAAAATTACTCTAAAGACAAACGGTACATTTTATTTTAAGGTGGCGATTCTGTCCACTCTGATCCCGGCAGGGGAGGGGGAATTTAAAACTATCTGCCTTGAAAAGCCCCAGGACGATCAAGAGCCGCTTTAACAGCTGAGCAGGCCACGAGGGAATTTGATGCGACTGCAAGCGGCAAACGCGGGATGGGAACAAGATGGGACAGGTGGATAAAAGCGTGGGCACCTGCTTTCTGGCGCCCAACGCTCAATCGGAAGTTCAGGCAGCGACAGGAGCTGCAGTCTGGATGACAATCCAGACCATCTGCTGCTCCTCGGCTTGACGCACGTGGACATGCTGTTGACTTGAGTCCAGTCAAAGGAGGGAGCAAGTGGATAACAACTCCTGGCCCAGTCCTGTGGACTGAAGGCACCCTAGTGTGAAAGATAATTGCAGCGGCGGCTCCAAAAGTGGCAGCGTTCTCTTTTAATTAGCACATATTAAGACCCTGATCTTTTGAAGAACCGAGCTGCGCTGACTCATCACAGAATGGGACTTACCACCATCCAATAGCTCATGCCAGAGTAAGACAAGAAAATAAAGGTTAAAAATCAAAAGGAGACAAAAATCCCACCATGGATAAAGCAAAATGGATGTTCGCAGTCTCACGGGGCTTTCTGACCAGGACTCGGACTCCTGCCTTCGAACAACAGTCTTAAAAACGTGCCTGCCAGGTTCCCCGAAGACTGCAGAAATAAAAATCACTGTTATTTTTACGACTGATGGCCTAGGCTACAGCAGGAGGTACCGACATACGAGTTTGAAGCATCCTTGGGTTTCTTTCCTTCATCTATGAGGAACAGCGACAACAAAAAAATGTCTGGGGTCTCCAGTGGAGCAGGCAAGGTGTATTGCAATTCGCCATCCCCCAGTGTCTGATTATAAAGCAACGACGCAGCCCCACTAGAGACCACGCTGTCGGCTTGTGGAGCCAGCCCAGAAGCTGCATGTGCTAGAAAGGAGGGGTTTATGGCAGGAGAAAAGGAGAAAAGAGATGGCAAGGCTTAGGAGAGGCTTTATTTTGGAGTCATACCTAGATTTTAGCATACAGTCACAGAAAATGAGGGTTGAAGGGAGCTCAGGAGGTCACATCTAGTGCAACCCCCTGCTCCAAGCAGGACCAGCCCCAACTACATCATCCCAGGCAAGGCTTTGTCTACCTGGGTCTTGAAAACCTCCAAGGATGGAGACTCCACCACCTCTCTAGGTACCCCGTTTCAGTGCTTTAGCACGGAGGAGATGGCTTATACCCAAGAGAAGAGGAACTGTCCCTTCTTTGGGGACCAACAGGATGCAACAAAGTATAAAAATACTCTATAAATCAAGGTCTGCGGAGTAAGCAGCCCTGGTTGCATGAGGACGGCAGGGTCCAACCTCACGTTCTGCAGCCGCGAGCGACTTGCCCGATCTGTCTCCCGTTCCCCAAGGCAACAACTTGCCCGTGGACTGTACCTCCCTCACTGCGCTGTTGGGAGGCCAGCAAGGAAACGTGTCCAACATGACTCAAAGAGGAAGGCTGCAGTTGTAACTAAGGACTGAGTATAATCGTCAGGCGTGGACAAATCGATTGGGAAACATGTCAGTGAAGACCATGCAGTGAAATAAAGAGTAAAATGAGCTTATATTAATGATGCAAACCCATCATGGACACCTTCAGATCAGCGAGGATGGGGAAAGACTCAAAACTGAGAAGCAGCGTGACATCAAGGGGAAAAGGGAAGCTGGCCCAGGTTGAAAATCACCATGAAGACAGCAGCGATGAAGACCAATCTAAAGGTGACGGCGTATTTGGACAGAGAAGGGACCAGAAAAACCAGGCAGAGCCAGCAACCTGCTCTCAGACCTCCGCTTCGACCACGTTGCACGTGAAGCACCACGATGACAGATCCCATATATTATCGGTGGCCGTGGTGAGGCCAAGCCAGGCAGGGCAAAGCGATGGGCTAGGAAGCGAGACCAGGCTGCAATGGGGAAGAAATGTTGCGGACTGCAGTCGTCGCCATCCAACGGAAGATGATTTCTCTTGAAGGCGAAAGCTGTGGTCTGACGCTTAAAATTGTACCGTCAGCTTGGCAGAAGGAAGCCAACAGCATGGCCCTGAGGTATGAAAGGCCACCTCCAGATCAAGGATGGCGTTTATCCCAGATGCCGCTGCTCCTGCCCCTGGCCACGCTGTATGCTCCGATCGCCTGCCCGACTCACAGCGGTCGTGTTGGGTTTTGAAAGCCCCCCCATGATGATGCTGAAAGCCGCTCTCTTGCCCACCAACCTGGCTGGCATCCGAGCAGCTTCCGACTTGCCCCAAATCGCCGCTTCTTCGGCAGAATCGAGGAACGCGACCACCAACTAATTAATCGCTTACGCTTTTGTGTGTGCCATCTTAACAAGGCTCAGGGGTCCCTTTCCCCGATTACAAGGTCGAAAAATTTCAGGGACTCCGTTAAAAGACACAGCAACCACGGGGCTGTTTTCAAGCATAAGGGGATTACGCGTCTGTCCAGAGCACCGGCAGAGATAACACCTCCGGCGGCCGCTACCCTGGCAGGGAAGTAGGGGAGAGCGACAGAGAGGGAGGAAGAGAGGTTTCCCTTCCCATTTTATTCCTCTAATCACTGTGATGATTTCTCAGGACACTTCCAGGCAGCTCATGGCTGCGCAAAGGGTCTCTCTCAACGCCAGCACATTGCAGAAGCGCTCCTCCTTGCTCCATCGCCTTGTCCACATTCCTGAAAGTTTGGGGGAAAAGAGGGCTGGTATTCCCCACGTGTCGACCAGGATCTGCGGCCCGGGCAAAGAAAGCGAGTATACGAAGCTCACTCACTCGGTAACGTCCGCCTGGCAACTTTTGAGCAACGAGCTCATCAAAATGAACGAGGCAAAAGACCCTCTGACCCATCTTGGGCCGCGGAGCTGCGACGGGTTCACCGCGAAGTCCGGTTAGCAGGATGTCAAACAGTCCCCAGCGCCTCCTGCGCGCCTCATCGCTGTACGCACACGGCTGCCGGGGGAGAGGGACGACTCGACGCCTCGCGCTCGGAGGGACTCCTTGACGCTGCTTTGACGAAGTCCCGGGCCGACGTTTCAGCTCAACTACAGGCACGGCGTCCCCGCGGCCTTACCGGGGCCGGTGCGAAGGCCA